AGCAACTTGTCTGTTCCTCTTCCCCCAATTCCCCAGCACTGTTCCCATCTCCCAATTCCCCAATAAAAATCTTTAAAAAAAAAAAATCTCTCTGCCAAGGAGTGATTGTGGCTTAAAGGATAATCCAGACAAGGACTCAAAGTTTATTTGTTAGCTTATAAATATGGGGTCCTGTTTGGGTCCTAAGTGAATGCAATATGTGATCATCAGTCTCAATTGGAAAGAAATTGAAGGGTGTAGGCCTGAGTAAGCTTTAGACAGGAAGTTATCTTGTTCTTCCAGGCACCACAATAAACCAGAGGTCACCTCATCTCAGGCACAGAATTTTGGAGCTGGGAGGCAGGGGAACCCGTTTTATAGAAGCTCAGTCCACAGGGAGTTAGTAGAGCCAGGATTAGAATTCAGGTGCAGCATTTTTTACAATGCCAACCTGAAATCCTTATTATTGTTATTTTCATCATTAACCATTTATTTAGTGTAAGCCATGTGTAAATCACTCATCTTGTTCTTTATGTAGCAGGCATGGCTTAGAGAGTTTGTATGTTGCCAAAGAAAACACAAACTTCTATTGGAAGAGTAGGACTTGGATTTAATATTTAGATTCCAACACCTGTGTAATTTTCACTACCTTATATGACCTCTTTTAAGAGCTCAGGGGTAGGCTAAAAGATGAAAGAGAAATAAACTAATAAGAACAGTTATAAATGCAAGGGTCAGGGCTTTTAACAAAGGCTTGTAGATTATACAGAAGAGGCAAAAGATACTATGGAAGGGATATTTTGTGCATGAAACCTGTTCCAAGCTGATCATGATGGGTTGAATTTATTGGCCTGAATTCTACATGTCTTCATTGTAGAGAAAAGATACTCCCCACCCCTTGACTTTGGGCTTGGCCATGGACATACTTTGACAAATGGGATAGAAAAAATAATGTGCTAATTCCAAATCTAAGCCTTAAGAGCTACCCCGTCCAAGCCCAGCTGACCCTGCAGAACTGTGAGAATAAGTCGTTATTGTTTTAAATCACTGAGTTTGGAGATTTCCAGTCAAGATGGTGGAGTAGGTAAATGCTGTTCTTGCCTCCTCTCAAGACCACATCAAAACTACAACTAAACCACAGAACAACCACCATTGAGAATTGCCTTAAGTTTAGCTGAGCAGAAGTCCTATAACTAAGGAAATATGGAAGAAGTCAGGTCGAGACTGGTAGGAGGGATGGAAACGCAGAAGGGCTGGTCCCACATTCACACATAGTTGTAAAAAATCAGGAGGTGTATCCAACAGAGGTCCCCCCTGAGAAGCAAAGGGTCCCAGCCTCACACCAGACTTCTCCAGCCAAGGATATCAGTGCCAGGTGCAGAAGTCCCCATAACTTCTGGCTGTGAAAAACAGTGGAGATTGTGGCTTAGTGAGATGGAAGGCATCTGGAGTCCCAGGTATTCCTCTTCAAGGGCCCATACACAGGCTCATTCTCTGATGAACTCATTTGTTCTGAGCTCCAGTACTGGAGCAGCAGCTCAAAAGGCATCAAGGACATATGGGAGGAACTGAACTGTCTGGTTTCATGGGAAGGGCTGGAGGGTCCATTTTCTCCTAGACAAGAGGGCTAACAAAAGTCATTGTTTCTTTGTTGAGCTGTCCCCCCACCCCTAGCATGCAGATGCAGGTGGTCACCGTATATGAGCCTCCATTAACCTGGATAACACTGTTCGCCCTGCCCTGGTAAATTCCTGAGACCCTGTCCTACCCAACTTGCAGACACAACTAAGCTGCTTCCAGTGGTTTTTTTTTTCCATACAAATAACCTGTCTTAGCTCATGTTTTAGACTTTCCTAAAATCTCTTAAAGCTTCACAAACCCCAAGCAAGCAGCATCTGGCTTCAGTGTGCCCCATACCTCTTGCTAAGCACTAGTGGCAGCCGGCCTCAGTTCAAGGCTTAGCCTCTCCCAAGCAGCTTCAAACCCAGAGTGGGTGGCAACCATCTTCAGATTGCTTTGTGGCTTATTCCAGGTGGCCCCAGGAAGAACACAGGCTTAGGGCTGAGCTTGGCCTCTAGCAGGGCCCCTCCCAGGAGATCCCAGGGCTGGCACACACTGTGGCCAGCTTGCAACCAAG